TTCATTATTCCGCGAATGCATGTAATTATAAATTGAAAGAGGGAAGAGATCTATGGTGATTCGGCCTCCCCGATCGAGTTGGGATGATAAAGTAGTTCTCCCGCTAATTCTGCCAATCTTATCTAGATATTTAAACATTTTTTTCTTCACTTGACGATTACTACGTTACAGGAAGTATCCGAGGTTTTGGCGAAATAATTGATAATTAATCTTGAATTAATAAGGAGCAAAATTTTTATTTCCTCGTATTGCTTTAGTAAAACAAACATAGAAATGTTCACGCGTGTCTTTTAATAATTTTACATAACAATTTGATGTAAATAAAGTATTGCTTAACGCAAAGGCAATGAATCGCATTTACAGTTTTACTTCGAAATGAAAAGCTTGATATAATGACAGGCTAAGTATGGGAGAAAAATGTGACTCTTTCTTGATTTACGTTTATCCACACGTCCGATTATGGTCCCAATGGAAGTCTCAGGTTCTCTTAAATGACAATATATCAGGGATTAAGTTTAAAAGCTGCGAAGAAGAATTTTTTTTATATCAATTTTTTTATTAACGACAAAGAAGTTTGTTCATTTATTTTCGTGAAAAATATGACAGCTTGACATGTCATTAGATCAAGCTTTTATACATTAAAATATAATATGCGTAAAATTAGGAAAAATCAAATAAAAATTGTTACATTTACGTGCTATTAATGCTAATTAATAGTACGCAGTACAAACAGAAAGATTCTGTAATTGTGGTAACAATAAATGCTTTCTTTGTGCCCAATAGTTTATTTTTGCAAAATAAGTTGACATATACAATGAGATAGCTTAGCAATTGTTAGAAATAAATATCTGTAAGAAAAATCCTCCACATATGTTATCTTCGTATTACATGTAACGAGCGCAATAACTAGTATGACTTTCGACTTGTCAGTTATGAGTGGAAAGGAAAAGGTGTTTGGTAAGAAAGTTGCAGTTTTTGACGTAGCTCGCATCTTATAAAATATTAAAACAGCCTCCGACGTTGAAGCTCACATCGCGCTCCTTTATCAGTTGCTATATCCTTATCAATTCTTTCTCTTACGCGTTATATTAAAATCTTCACGCCAATTCTCTCATGCGCAATATGAAATATTATTATATATCGTATATAGATACGACTTTTATCATTAAATATTACAGTAATTGTAGGTAAAGCGTGATTCTCCAAAAATATGAGCTTTTATTGTGGAAAAAAAATAGTATAGAATTTTCAGTATAAAATTCTTCAGTTTAAAAACGAATTTCGGTTAAAAAAACGATTAACATAAACGTTACAGAGAACTATAGTGTTTAATTAATTTGCGCATGAAAGAATGTTGCGCATGAATTAATTTTTATAACCATTCGCAAATATGAACATAGAAGGACGGACGCGTGTCTTAACGGGTCCAAATTTGCATTTATTAATTACATAAGAAAGAACGTAGCCGTTCATGTCATTATTCCAGCACCTTCATCGCTTTTATAATCTCGAGTAGATTTCTACAAGCGAGTGTCGTCCTATACTTTCACATGAACGAACCACACCTTATATTATCCTGCCCTGCAGAAAAAATTGTATATATAAGTATTTCGCATAAAATTAATATAACAATACGATTTTCATTAATCGTTTATCACTAATAAAGCCTCTCCCTAATAGATCTCTATATTAATTTATACTTCTAATATAAGATGAATCAAATGGTTGAAATGAATTATTAGTTTTTATTCTGTTAATTATAGAAAAAACTATGGAAAAAATTGAATATAGTAAAAGTTCTAAAACTTGCACATTTTCTCG